TTTTATTAGTCAATAGGTTTACATTAATTCTGCACAAGAGGAGCAGATTCTAATGTCTGTGAGGTGGGTTTTGTGAATGATATGAGGAAGTCACAATACCAGACTTCTATTATTTGAATAATCTGTGGACTTTTAGGTATTTTCATGCTGTTTTTTTTTTTTTTGTTTGCTTGTTTCTTTGTTTTGTTTTTGTTTTTTGGGTGTAGTTTTGTTTTCCTTTTTTTTTTTTTTTTTCTTTCCCCTAACTCTAAACATATAGATAGTTTTCCCAGTTTTGGAACAGAATGACTCAGCTGGAGCTTATACTGAAACTGCACACCAGCTAAAAGCTTTTCAACATATAGGAAATGGACTGTCATCATATGATGATGATGGAACATGCACACTAAGGGCTCTGCTTCTTATCTATACCAAAGGTAGTTTGTTCCTCTTTGCCTGCCTAATTACAGTATGCACTCACAAAACAAAACAAAACAAAAATAAACAAATGAACAAAAAAAACCAACAAGAATATCTTTTTGTTTTGGATGTAGAATATGGTGTTTGTGCAAATCAGAATTAGGCTTTGGAGGTTTGACTCAGTCCTATCTGAATACTATGGGAGGTAGAATGATCTGTTGTGAGCAGGAAAAAGCCTCAATAGCAGTAAAACCATCTCCTACATTTCATTTTAAAGCTGTTGCTTTTCATGTTGACTATGCCAAGTCTGCCTCTAGTTTTCTTGGTCTTATTTTATTTATTTTGAATGGGTTAATTTATATACTCAAAAGGTTTGATAATGCTATATATCAGTTTCCCTGTTCTTGAAAACATGGTATATACTTCTAATGCATGCAGAGTCTGTCCAGTTCCAGAGAACACCATGCAAAGAATTTTGATTTCCTTTTTGACAAGATTGTATTGGAAGGATGCCACAGTGTGTTTCTGCACTGTAATGCTTAAATGAGACAGATACAAAAAATAAATAATTGTTGCTATTTATAAGGAAATAAAATGGTAAAAACTGTTCAACACAACATAGCTGCTGTGAGTGCTTTTGCTCTATAAATCACCAACAGCAAATTCCTCTAAATGACAGTGAAATAGTGAAGAAGTTAAAAATATCACATCGTTTATGTAAATCTTTCAAATGCTTGCAATTTATTAGGCACTATAAGATTTCTGATGGGATCTATAAAGAGGAAATTTTATTACGTAAGTTTGTAATGTGAAATGATGGTAAGAAAGCAGACCTTTCGACCTGCTGATTGCTTTGTGGAGAAGTGTGGGAGATACAGAAAGCAAGAAATGCTATGTGCTTATTGGGTGTGTGTGCATCCTCTTGCAGACTGAACTACAGGATCTTGCTATAGATTATTTCTTCTTGCTCAGTGATCCCTGTAGTTAACTCCACAGCAGTGCAATCTCTGTAGTTCTGTTACCTGATACATTTGCAATGATGCCTTTATGTATGGGCTGAGACTTTTCATTTGAGAAGGCAGCCTCAACAAGATGCCTCTGCACGGTACCACAGTGGAATGATTTAAATTGGAAAAGACATCTGGAGGTCTGTATTCCAGCCTTTGTTCGCAGTTTTTCAGACTAGATCAGGTTTCTTAGGGCCTTGTTCATTGGCATTTTGAGTCTCTCCAAGCATGAAGTATTTACAGTCTCTTTGGAGTCTTGTTCCAGTGCTTGAATATTCTAATGGTTGATTGTTTTTTCTAGACCTGTAATCAGACTTCTGCTTGTATATATTTTTGTGGATATGCAATATAGATGTCAATGTTTATCTGTAGCACTGCAGCATACCTGCATGCACATCCCTGGTGCCACAGGCCTTTGTTATCAGAAAGCCATTGCAACTCTGTGGATCCCATAACTTTTTTGACCAATGTGAGGAAGTTTGTTCTGTGACATGAAATTTGACTGTTCCTTAGCAGAAATGGGCATTCTTGTAAACCTAATATGAAAATTATTTAATTTGTCATCTCATAAAAATGGAACAGAATTCACTTAGTGTGCATTAGACCCATGGAGGCAGTGTATGCTCTGGCAGTACCTTATTTTGTAGCCTCTTTGGAAAGCACTTTTTGTGTCAGCTAAGTGTTAAGTGGCTATCAAAATTTCAGCAGTGTTATTATGCAAACTGTATTCCAAAGCCCACTGATGATTCTGGTGAAAGAGGAAAAGTGAGATCAAATCCAGTTTTGCAATCCCTGAACCCAAGCTCAATAGCAGTTAAAAAGTTATAATCACTTAGAGCCAGACTACAAGCTATGCTCCTTTCAGATATCTTTTAATTTTTTCGTGTCCTGATATACATCTCGGTAGCAGTTTATATCCACTTTACCCACAAACATATTGACTCTATCTGTTTGATTTAAGAGTTATATCCTTTCTTTAAACCTCTGGTGTAAAATGTTAAAAAAAAATCTGGTGTTTCAAGAGAGGAGTTAACATAATGCCCTTTTTCCTGTAGGTTGTGTAGGACTGGATCAATGGTGCTTGCATGTAACTAGTGAAATTACTAAATTACTGAAAATCCAAACCGGATTTCATTTCTGTGTGAATTCAAATAGAGTAGAGAATATTAAACACTAGACATGAATGGAGATGGTGATAGTAATAGCTTCTGGAGCCTGTTCTTAACAAGTTTTATTTTCAGTACTTCTTAAAAAAGTAACATTAGTCTTCAATGACTCAAAATCTCCCTATAAGAATACCACCAACCAAGTCGACCTAGATTAGAGGTTTCAAGCTACTTCAGAGCAACAGAAATGCAGGTCCTTCCCCAAAACAACTTTTCTATCACCACCACCATAGGCTGAATTGATTGGTGTTATTCTACAGGTAAAGTTCTGCAGTAAACAGGTGAACTACAGAGACTACCCTTTGTTGATTTTGCTATATAAAGCCAAACTAAAAAACTTCGGGGTTTTTTTCTGTTTAATGCAATTGAATATAACTAGTGTGAAATCCCTGGTATCTCAATTTGTTTAACTGTGTTTTAAAACCATAGATATTTGGTTCTGCTGCCAGAATTTAAGTGATGTAGCTTTTTAAAATAATACATTAAAGCTGAAATCCAGAAACAGAGAAAGATTAAAGATATCTGCAGAGAGGATAGGTTCTAAATATTTATTTATTTTTAATTTTGAACCATGGTAATTCCACATGCAGTTCACACTGCACTCTTCCATTTCATTAGTATTCTGGGTGGTCAGGATGTGCCAGCTAAATACAGCCATCCTACGGGATCTTGCTGTAGTCATAGCAACTGGTTTGCAATTTCAGAAACCTGCATAGTGGAGGTCTGGCATATCTGAGAGCACAAGGTAGAGTCAAGATACTCACTAATTAGTCTGTGTGTTTTTTGAATGGCTGTACATTCAGCAAATAGACTAAGAGAACTCTGACTATTTTCAGTCAGTTTTACACAACCAGTGAATTGCTGATAGTTTCAAGAGTTACAAGTCTGGCTTCCTGCAATTCCTTCCAAACACTCAGCATTAGAGCCAGTCCAGCTGGATAGCAGTAGCTATGGGTAGAATCATCAATAACTCCTGTAAGTTGTGAGAGCACTGTTAATGAGTTACTGTGCTGCAGTATGAGGTGTGACAGTCTCTCAAGCCTGTGATAGTTGAGTAGAAGCTCACTGAAATCAATGAAAATCTTACAAAGTCATCAGAATGAGAGCTGAGTTAGGCAAAAAGAAGGATGAAATAATGAAGGTGAAGAAGGGATTTCATTATCATAGAATCATTAAGGTTGATCATCTAATCCAGCCATCCACCTCCCACCAGTATTGCCCACTAAACTATGTCCTTCAGTCCTCCAGGGACTGTGGCTCCACCACTTCCTGGGGCAATCTGTGCCAATGCCTCATCATTCTTATAACATTCTCCAAGATGTAAGTACCTAATGCCTCTGAATTTATTTGAAAGTTCCAGCTGAAATGCAGCTTATTTTCTCAAGCATTGTTTACAGTGAAGTCCAAAATAAACTCATAAATAAATCACTTGGATTAATTGTGTAGATTTTTTACTCAGAGATAGATCTCAAGAGCAGAAAATGAAGTAGGCATCATGAAGAAGGCAAAGTGCTATGGCCTAACAGAGACTGATAGATAAAGAATCCTGAATATCTTCACCTTCTAGTAAAAATTTAGGTGGTAAAATACTGTGACATGAATAAGAGAGACAGTGAACATATGAAATCCGTACTGATTCAGATGACAAAGCCATAAAAATCATTGATCATACATGGAAAGATGTGTACAAAACATTCAGGATGCTGGAGATTAATTTCAGAACAGATCTGAGTTACCATTTTTAAGAAAAATTAAAAGTCAGTGTAGTCATTTCTTTCAGGTTCCAAATAATATTGACAAATATATCAAGAGATATGTGAGAGAAAATATGAGTCCGAAAGGAAGGATAACTGTTAGCTCAGTGAACTGTGGACAAATGCACAATTTTTCAAGGTTTTAAGGAAAGCATGCAATATATGTGAAATCCAGGAACATTTATTTTCGTATGAAAATCATGTATATGACAAAAAAATTTCACCAAGGGAGTGTAAAACTTAAATGATTTGCTTTTCAAAGCCAAATGTCCATTTTTTAAAAACCAAATCATTGAAAAAAGTAACTATACGTATGTTAAATATATGTTACATGTACCTATATGTATGATAACAGGGGCTCTGCATGTGATGGTGGTTAACTCTTTGAATCTAAGAGAGGTACTGTAAATTTTACTGTAGCCATGACTGAGGAACTGTAGTCTACAGGAAGGACTGAAGTATGAAATGCAGTTGGAAATACACCGCCACAGAGTGGTTTGCTCGCCTCCTGCTCACACTGGGAAGGGGGAGAGAACTGGGGAGAGTAATAAAGGGTTGAGGTAAGAACTGTTTACTGAAACAGCAAAGAACAAGAAGTGTAATAGTAGTGATAATAGCATTTAAAGGAAGTCGTTTTTAAGAAAACTAAATTTATTTGTTTGTTTATTAAACAGGATTCTGAGAAGTCCGAAGTGCCATTGCTCAAGACTTGTAAGTGACTTCTTTAATTAACTCTAAGACACCCACCTTTTTTGTGAAAACACAGTAAAGTGCAGGGCATTGAAATTGAAGTCATGTTTTTATTTGACTTTGATTAGATAAAGAAAGGCATAAGGTTTAAGTTGGAGTTCTGCTTCAGTATGGTTATTTCAGTCCATGAGACAGGTGGTGTGTAGGTGCAGAAGGCTACACTAGCTGTTCCAATGTCTGCATGATTATTCTCCACCAGTGCATTGTAATTCTTTTAAAATTATCTGAATGAGCCTGAAAGAAGCTACAGAACTTTCCCCATTGTTCAGATTCATGAAAGTAATCTTCCTTAAAAAATAAATCTCTGTGCTTTTCTTTCTTCAGATAAGTAGTCCTTCTAATTTTTAGAGAGGTCTCCTTTTCCAGTGCGAGGTATAATGAGTTGAGCAGTTTTCAGTTCTCTCTTAAAACTTTTTGAGTTATTGTATGCCTGAAACTTACGCAGTGTTGCTTTCAAACTGTCAAGGAGCAGAATTCCAGACATGAAATTGAATCTAGTTAATACTGTACTGAAGCTAGCAAGCACTGAAAAATATGAGGGATCATGTTTATTTGTATGAATAGTGTGTCAAAATATAATCTCTGAAAACAATGTGGTGATGTGGAGGTCCAAGACATTCACAAAAATGGTCTGGAGACCTTGAGGCAATAAAGCTTTGAGTATGTGCTTAACTTATGTATACCTCAGTGACACCTATCACTTCCTCTGTGCTCCGAAAGAGAAACAAATATTTTGTATTTATACTAAAAAATATTAACAGTGCTTAGTTTTATACAGTGTTTGATCTTTTTGATGTGCTTTGCCAGTTTTTGGTCCATCTCCTTGTTGTGTAAGGAACAATGTGACTGCTTCTTCATCCTTCTAACGTGTTTCCACAGTAGATGATTAGTTGAATTTGCACTGTGTGAATTTTATCTGTCTAATTTATGCATTAAGGTTGTTTCTGAGGATAGCAAACAAATGAGGGCAGACGTTGGTAGGGTCATCACCAGCCAGATGCCTTGGAATTAAATCTAAATTTTCAGTATTTTTGCATCCCAGCTGTAACTCCCCAGCACTCCTGATGGCACACTTTCATGCTAGTCACTTTTCCCATGAGATGTGTCCTGGCAACCCCATTTCTCTCTCATACTTCTCTCTATGTGCATGTGTTAATGAAAATAATTAAACATATTTATTACATGCATTTTATATGCAATTCCATATTTTAATGTTTGCATATCTATACCCGTATGAATTTAATATATTTAATTACATATTACATATGTAAGGGCTGCTCTGAAGTAACACCTCTTGTTTTGTTATGTTGGCCCACGACATCTGAGGCAGATGTTGGTGGGACGGCAGTCGATGTTGAACCTTCCCACCAATTTCCATCACATGTTGTTGCTGTGCAACAGATGGCAGCAGAGGGACAGTCTGATAAAATGGTGTCTGACAGAGAAGTGCGGATGAAGCAAAGGGGTTTAACTGAATTCCTACAGATAGAAAAACTAGCATCTGTTGGCATTCACTGACACTTGCTGAATGTTTATGGAAACCAAACTGTAGATGTGAGTACAGTGAGAAGGTGAGAGGAGCATTTCAGTGGTAGTGATGTGAAAGGCAAGGTGCATTCTGGATAGCCATGCCGATTTTTTGAGTGCAGCATGTAGGCTCTTGTTCATTGCTGGCAAAAATGCAGACTAATGGTGTGACTGTCTTGAAAAACTGTGTTTTGTAACTGCGAGTTTGCTCTCTCAAGTACTGTTACTGCAATCTATATGTTGTACCTTCAACAGCAATAAGCAGGGGACATTACTATTGGAATGTATTTATGTATAATACAGTATTATTTTTATTAGACAAAAATTTATTTTCTGAACATAATAAATGTGAAAAAGAAAAACACTTATTAAATTATTATATGAACTTCTAAACAATGTTAAATTAAAGATGTAAGCACATAAAGAAAGAAAATATGCTGTGTGTTGACCTATATTTTAAGAGTATTATGCCTGCTATTTCATTATTGCAGCTATCAAATTAAAACAAATGGAAGATCGCTTCTACCATTTGTAACTCTCATAGATAATAGAATACTTCCAGAGGTGAGAGTCAACACATTGAATTACCATAGAAATCATTAAAAGAACCACCAAATAATGCTCTGATCTCTCAATTAGTTTCATCTTTCTGAATTTCTTTTGTGATTATGCTTACTGTTGCTTATTTAGATTTTTTTGCTTTTAAGAAGTCGTAATCTAACCCTGAAATTTATCATCTTTTCACTAACAGAAATGTTTGTTCTACAACTGTTGTCTAATGAAATCTAGGGCAAAATAAGAAGAAAGTTAATTATCCACTAAAGTGAACTATCTGCTGCTAATTCAAATTGCCTCCTTTCATCAGATCCAAGGCACTCCAAAGAACAAATGTTAATATTTCTAGAATAGAGGTATCTAACACAAAAAATTTGCTAATTAATTAGTCTTTTCTCTTATGTTTACATATGAGATAATTAATGCCATGAAGAAATATTCATCTAAGATGAAGAATTTTATGAAGTACTATTTTGCACAGTGACATAAAACAAAGTGTTCTGCACTTACTTGCAAGTGAAGGAATTAACAGCCATTAGGTATTAAACTACTGATTATAGGTGTATCATTCTATTACTTTGTTCTATGATTCTGAGATTGTAGCAAACAAAACCTTGTTCTTTTTGCTAATTTGTTAAGATATATTCAGATTCGTTTAAACATAGCATAACAAACCTTTTTCTGTAAGTCATATAATACTACCTGTCAGGAACAAAAACCTTCATTAGTTCCTTTAGTCCCCAGTGCTGCCTCCCTTTAAAGGCCAGCAAGCAAAAATCCAGTCCTACAGTCCCAGTCCTCCAAGTCTTGCTTAGATTCTCTACTTCTTCCGTGTTGTTCTGTGTAATAGAATACAAACTGTCTGAGCAGAGGGAAGCTGGAACTTCAGCATATTTCCACAAGCAAGATGTGTGAAAAACGAGGCCAGAACCTTCAGAAAATCTGAACCGTTAGAGAGCTGCTTTAGTTTCAAATTAATTGCTTAAGTTCCCACTGTCAGAATTAGCTGGAGTTCAGCAGTACTCATGGTACATTCACCTTTTCCAATAATTCATTTCTGTGCAGTAAGGTGACCAATAGCATCTATATGATGAGCATAGCACCCTTACAGAGTTATATATGGCCATGACTCCTGTCTTCGGCTCCTTTTCATAGGTCGTATCATAATTTATGTTACTGATGGTAAAAGTTGTTAATTGTGTCAGTGACCATATATTTGGAGGGCAAAAATAGCATAAATGAGGAAATACAATGTTTAAGACAAGGTGTTCAAAAGAGTAAGAAAAACTCTGCTTAAGGAAAATTTATTCTTAAAATAGTCATCTAAAAATCATAATCAATTCCAGAAAGAAATTAAGCAAAAATGTACCATGCAAAATCAAACCAGGATGTTTCTCCCTGTATGTGGTATATGCCTGCATAAATTAAAGGTTTCCCATGTTGTATTATTTATTTTTACCTGAACTTTAGGAAAGATATATGCATATACATGTATATGTACCTTTCAAAATGCTGATCATCTATATGGCAGAAAGAGAGAACATATCAAGACATATTAACATTATTAGTTGATTTTATTTTTAAATACCATTTTTTTTTGCTAGTTGTAATGAATTACATGATATATAGATGCAAAAAATTGTACAACTCAGTAAGGAGTTACTTTGACATGGTACATTAAGAAACAAAGTGATATAATGCTTGAGCTACATAATGGAAACTGCATCATTTTTCTTCAGTATTTTTCCTTAAAGTATGAAATAAGAAATATGATCTTTCAGTATTTCCATAATTTTTATAGTTTTATGGGGGAAAAAAAAAATACTTTGAGCTACTTTGCTCAGTATTTTCGAGGAAGGTGATTCTGTGTCTCAATTACAGTTGGAGAGGATCATTCCAGGGCTGGTCAAACTACTGCAAAGACTGCTATTGATTAGACTGCCAAACAAAATAAAATTGTTTGTTTTCGCATTTGAATCTGTCCAAATCTTCTTCCAGAAAAAACTGTTTTCAAGAATCAGTTTTCTATGTATTTACTTGGTTATTATCTCATGTAGAGTAACTGCAGAATTACTTCCATAATATAGGATTCACAGGCTTTTTGGAGGATGATGCATTTGTGTTTCCCATATAACAACTGATCTAGCAATACCACAAGCTATTCCTCCCCTCATTCTTTAATAAAACCTCCCTAAGTGGTGATTACATTTTAGTGGTTTCATTAGCATCACTCAGTTTTTATGCTAGGTTTGCCTTTCCTCATCACTTAAGAAAAATCTTGCTCTTGTTGCTTTCTCAGTCCCCGTATGCTGCTCCTCAACACACAGCACTTTCAATTTGCAGCAGGAAAAAGGAGCAGGAGGAGTATTATAGTATTTGAACTTAAGCTTCTAGTTGGGATTCTGTAAACTGTTTTTGAAGAATCAAAAGCAATGAGACCTGTCTGTCTGCCTAAATACTGCAGATTTTATCCTGCTTGCAATGGTGTTGTTAATGGCAGTCTCCAAACTACTTCTATTCAGAGCCGTGTCACACTCCTAGATAAAGGGTGGAAGGGTGGAACTGGTAAATATGCAGAGAATATGGTGATCAGGGAAGAATTTTACATCACTGTAATAATAGAAGAGGCTTGTCAAACTTAAGCTATGACTTTATTTTGCCTTCTTTTCTGCCTTGAGAACACAAAGAGAAATGGCAATATTTTGGAGGTTAGATTGAAATCATGCTACTTGAGAAAGCTTGAATTAAACCTCAGAGGAGCTTCTACTTTTAAACACATTGCTGTACTTTGCAATTTGGAAAAATAAGCCTACCTCTGCACTGCAGTTAAAAAAGATAAGTAAAAATAATTTTTAAAAATCTGAATATACATAAAATAA